GCGAGAGAGGGGGGCTCTCCTGAGTTGTGCTATGCGAGCCGCGTGCTATGCTACGCGTGCGGGGGGGAGGGGGGAGGGGGCGAGGGAGAGAGCGAGCCTCAGCCTGCCTCAGCCTCAGCCTCAGCCTGCTTCAGCCTCAGCCTCAGTCTGCCTTCAGCCTCGGCCTCAGCCTCAGCCTGCCTCAGCCTCAGCCTGCCTCAGCCTCAGCCTCAGCCTGCCTCAGCCTCAGCCTCGGCCTGCCTCAGCCTCGCGCGCATTTCGCGCGGATCCTCTCGACCCCGCCGGCCGAGGGGATGGGGGGAGATAAAGAGAGGGACCAAAGAGAGAAGGGGGATGCATCGGAGAAACCTCGCCCCCAAAAGCGCCGCCCTGGCGGCGAGAGAGGGGAGCTCCCCTGAGTTGTGCTATGCGAGCCGCGTGCTATGCTACGCGCGCGGGGGGGGAGGGGGGAGGGGGGGGCGAGGGAGAGAGCGAGCCTCAGCCTGCCTCAGCCTCAGCCTCAGCCTGCTTCAGCCTCAGCCTCAGTCTGCCTTCAGCCTCGGCCTCAGCTCTCAGCCTGCCTGCAGCCTCAGCCTCAGCCTGCCTCAGCCTCAGCCTCGGCCTGCCTCAGCCTCGCGCGCATTTCGCGCGGATCCTCTCGACCCCGCCGGCCGAGGGGATGGGGGGAGATAAAGAAGGGAACAAAGAGAGAGGGGGATGTATCGGAGAAACCTCGCCCCCAAAAGCGCCGCCCTGGCGGCGAGAGAGGGGGGCTCTCCTGAGTTGTGCCATGCGAGCCGCGCGCGGAGAGAGCGAGCCTCAGCCTGTCTCAGCCTCAGCCTCAGCCTGCTTCAGCCTCAGCCTCAGCCTGCCTTCAGCCTCGGCCTCAGCCTCAGCCTGCCTCAGCCTCAGCCTGCCTCAGCCTCGGCCTGCCTCAGCCTCAGCCTCGGCCTGCCTCAGCCTCGCGTGCATTTCGCGCGGGTCCTCTCGACCCCGCCGGCCGAAGGGGATGGGGGGAGATAAAGAGAGGGAACAAAGAGAGAAGGGGGATGCATCGGAGAAACCTCGCCCCCAAAAGCGCCGCCCTGGCGGCGAGAGAGGGGGGCTCTCCTGAGTTGTGCTATGCGAGCCGCGTGCGGAGAGAGCGAGCCTCAGCCTGCCTCAGCCTCAGCCTCAGCCTGCTTCAGCCTCAGCCTCAGTCTGCCTTCAGCCTCGGCCTCAGCGTCAGCCTGCCTCGGCCTCAGCCTGCCTCAGCCTCAGCCTCAGCCTGCCTCAGCCTCAGCCTCGGCCTGCCTCAGCCTCGCGCGCATTTCGCGCGGATCCTCTCGACCCCGCCTTTCGAGGGGATGGGGGGAGATAAAGAGAGGGAACAAAGAGAGAAGGGGGATGTATCGGAGAAACCTCGCCCCAAAAAGCGCCGCCCTGGCGGCGAGAGAGGGGGGCTCTCCTGAGTTGTGCTATGCGAGCCGCGTGCGGAGAGAGCGAGCCTCAGCCTGCCTCAGCCTCAGCCTCAGCCTGCTTCAGCCTCAGCCTCAGTCTGCCTTCAGCCTCGGCCTCAGCCTCGCGCGCATTTCGCGCGGGTCCTCTCGACCCCGCCGGCCGAGGGGATGGGGGGAGATAAAGAGAGGGAACAAAGAGAAAAGGGGAATGTATCGGAGAAACCTCGCCCCAAAAAGCGCCGCCCTGGCGGCGAGAGAGGGGGGCTCTCCTGAGTTGTGGCTATGCGAGCCGCGTGCCGGATTATAGGAGCTCAGCCTGCCTCAGCCTCAGCCTCATCCTGCTTCAGCCTCCGCTCAGTCTGC